TGTAAAACAGAAGGCGGGCATTGAAATTCAAAGGCCACGCTCCATCGCCGACGACGCGACAGGTGCTCATAGAACTGTTTCAAACCCCGAAGAATAAAATGTAACACCCATGGTAGCCAGGGCCTCTGCACGCGCCGAGCGTCGCCACACTGAATTAACCAGTCCTCTGCCCCAGAGCGCGGGGTGGCCAGCGAGACAGGGCAGGACACCGATTTGCACTGTAGCCGCACCTCGCTCGTGAAAAAGCCACTGGGCCTACGCCGCTTCTCCTGCTTGCGAAAAGTCTGCGCGATGACCTGCTGAATGTTCGATGGCGCGTTGGCGAACATGCCCATCGTGGCGGGGGCTCCTGTCAGAACGGCCAGGCGCTGATCGCGCAAAAGTGCAACATGTTTGGGGTGCGCGGCATCGACTGCACTTGTGCGCATCTTGAATCGCGCAGAAATCCTTTTGAACAACTCAGGTGAGGTTCTAGGCGGGATGATGGAAGGAGCCTCGAGGAACCTGCCACGCCCTTGGCCCGCCACGCCGGAGCCCATTGAAGCTGCTGCGACGCGACGCCAAATTTCCATCCAGCGAAGCCGTGATACTGCCATGGCTGCGGACATGCGCTTCCTCCTCGTTGGTGGGTTCCGCGCAAGTAACTGCATGGGCAGCCCCGCCCCCGCCAGTATCAAAAACTCGTGTACGCCGGTCTTGCCATCATTCCCCGTGCCCCGAAAAGGCGATTATTGTTTTCTCGGGACACCCAGCGCAGGAACCAGAACACACACTTCATCATCAATCACACACTCACTTACTCACTCAGTCACCGTCATCTCTCATTCACTCAGTCATCACGTCGCCGTCGCTCACACACATTGACCACCATCAACACCAGTGGCATCATCACCAGATTATCACCATCAGTAGCATCACCACCGTCACTCATTCACTCATTCACTCATGCACTCCCGCTCACTCCTTTACTTATCAGCAGCACACGCATCATCGTCATCACTCACGCACTCGCCCGCACTCACAGTCAGTCACACAGGTCACCTTGGCCACCTTGACCATCAGACAGACGATCGCACACTCACTCACCCCCGCACCCATCACCTGCATCATCATCATCATCACAAATTCAGTCAGTCACTCACTCCCTCACTCACCCACTGATTCGCTAGCTTGATTTTTTTTTGGGGGGGGGGGCATCGGGCAGGAGGCTCGTCTGTCAGTGAATTGCGAGGAAGACTCAGGCGGGGGCCTTCTCCCTATGGGGCCCGAGCCTAATGATTTTTCCAGGCGCGTCATCGTCGAACCTGTAGCTGTCGTCAATATTGGGCAGCTTGAGCCTGAATATGGGGATGTCTAAGGCGGGAGGCTCGTCTCTGCGTGAATTGCGAGGGGGTCCCAGGCGAGGGCCCTTTCCCTATGGGGCCCGCACATCACGTTTTTTATCCAAGCGGGTCACCCTCAACACTGTAACTGTCGTCACTTTGGGCCCCCGAAGCCTGAACATGGGCGAAGTATCAGGCGGGGGGCCTCGTCTGCGAGTGAACTGCGAGCAAGGCCCCCCCCTCCCCCCCCCCCCCGCATGCGCCCTTCAGAAGGCGACTCGCCCGACCCGTGAGGCGAGGGAGAAAAAAAGGAAAAGGGCGGTGAGGGCGGCGACAGCGGCCGGGCGCAGGGGGAAACCGTTGCGTCCGGGCGGGGGGTGGTCACCCATCCCACGTCGAAGCGGGGGCAAGGGGGGGCCCCTGCCTCCCGGCTGGCGGTGGTAACCCATCGCCAGCCCAATCGAGCGCACGGGGAAGCCCTTGTCTCCGGGCTGGCGGTGGTAACCAATCGTCAACCGAATCGGGCGCAGGGGGGAACCCTTGCGTCCGGGCCGGGGGTGGTAGCCCATCCTCGGCCGAAGCGGGGGCAGGGGGGGAACCTTGCCTCCGGGCTGGCGGCGGCAACCCATCGTCAGCCGAACCGGGCGCAGGCAGCGCCCAGGCTGGCGGTGGCACGCCGTCGCCAGCCGAAACGGGCGCGGGGGGGGTGCCCTTGCGCCCGGGATGCGGGCAATAACCCATCCTCGGCCGAACCAATCGCGGGGGGAAGCCCCCGCGCCCGGGGCGCGAGGGCGATGGCCCATCCGCGCCCGAAGCGAGTCCCCCCACAAAAGGTGAATTGCGTTCTCGCTGGTAAAAAGCCATACGCGCCAATTGTTGCTTCGGCCTCTTTTCGGCCCCGGGGGCGCCGAGAGATTCGACGAGAGAGGCGCTCGAGAAATTCGATGATCGCGCGGGGGGCTCCAAGGGCGAGGCCAAGCAGCTCGCCGCAGAGCTTGGCTTCATGCTGCCTCCCGCCTGAGCGCGGCCGCGATTTGCCCCGACGGTTTGCCCCCGCGCGCCAGCGGCTCGCGCGGGCGCGCCGACGGCCTGGCCCGCGGGCTGCGAGAATGCGTCCGCACTGGCCGAGGCGGCGACGGCGTCGAAGGAAATCGGCGCGCGCGCGTTCTTGCAGTATACAGGAGAGGAGGTGACAGGCGACGAAACAAACAGCAGGAGGGCGAGGCCAGGGCAACGCTGGGAGCGGCGAGGGCCCTGCGCCAGGGCGAGAATGATAATGACCGTGCCGAAAGGATTTTAACGCGGGGTCTTTCCGTCGGAGTAAGTTTGTTTGGATGTTCTAAGACATCGATACTTGCTGCGTCTCTACTCGCTTGAGCACCTCAACCCACGCAGTAACATCTGCAGAAATGTGGGCATCTATCTGGGTCGTCCTGGACGTTAGCCTCCGCGTCGAAAATGAGCCGCCACCTTCCGTGGCCTCTCGGCCCCCTCCGTTCAGGCCTGGCTGCGTCTGCGCGACGCAGGGGCCCGTCGACGGCGCGTCGAGAAGCAGTCCTTCCTGGGGCGAGGGGCGCGGGGGGCGGCAGCCAAGGAGTCCCGGTCGACGGAGGTGCGATCCGCGCCGTGGGCCTACATCCGTAGCACAACTGCACTCACCAAAGAATCGATCAATGGAACTGTTGAGGATGAGTTGCCTATCTTCACTTTCGCAGCCAAGATGCTTACATATGCTTACAGATATGTCGTACTTGCTGCGTTCTCTGAACTGCTGCATGACACTCCAATATGTTCGCCGATCTTGACCAGCGCATCCTGATACAACCGTGTTGCGGAGGTGTCTGAATTCTTGCAGCCAAGACCTCATCCGATGTACTGCGTTCCCTGGGAGTTCGTTTTGTTTGACTTTGCTTGATCGCCAGGCTGGGCATCGCGGGCCTGGAGGCGACGAGAAGGGGGGGCCCGCCAGGCAGAAGCTTCGGGTCAGGGTCGGCATGAGCCACTTGCTGCAGTTCAGTCCAGGCGTTCGTAACCCAGCCCTGGCAGATCGCATCGAAGAGTGGTTGTCGACTGACTTCCTGTCAGCCCCAATAACATTAGAAATCACTCCGTTACGGGTGCTGTTCTCTATGTACTGGCCAATCTTTGGGTTGAGCATATCATAGGCAGGTGATGCACATGCACGCCCAAGCCCAGGAACTGTAGGTAGCGTAGCATACGGACTTGGACATGAACATCACGCGCAGCACAGCGCAACGTTATCTTGACGGGACGGCGTGGTCCTGGGACAACTGCGTTGGGGAGCTCAATGTTTGCCTCACTGGCTAGTACATCCGGTTGCCGACGAATTCTGAAGAGGTCGATTCTAGACGATCCTCGTCCTCCATCATATGTGTGTGAAGGTACATTGGGGCCGAACTGGATGTTCGCCTCCCTGATTCCCATTTGGAGCCCCATGTGGACCTCCGTACACGGCATGTTCCGGCCGCCTCCGAAAACATGATGGCCCCCAGGCCGCAGCACATGTCTATTTCAAAATCCTGCATGTTGACGGAATACAGACTTACCCCTCCTACCTCCTGAATGCGCAGAAGGGCAATGTGCCAAATGCCGTGCGACAACTGATAAACCACCCACATCACACCACATGTCCAAACGCTTGCGCGTAATAGTACATGTGCCGCGTGTGTGCTGGCCTTGTTCAAACACAGCGATGCACGATCCCAGAAACACTTCCAGCCCACTCTCGAAAGACGTCAGTTGGCATCACTCTGCTCCTCAGGGCCTAGCTTGTGCGCCTGAATGAGGACTACTCCGGCCGCGGAGATCTCACTATACGCTTCTGTTACCCACTAGCAGCTCACATCGTATGTGGCTATACTCAAATCTTTGAATGTCAGATGTTTCTTTCCCTTGGCCTTACACTGTCCATCATTGAGGGGGAACAGATGGGGTCCAAGTCGCGTTGCAGGGCTCGAAATCTGGGTCAGCTCCATCCGCTGGGCTTGGCCTCTGGTAAGCACCTGCACGCTAGGCTCATCTTGCTCGGAAGGCACGAAAAGCATCGACGAGCGCCCGCTTCTCAAGAACAGCTCCTGTCACGAACAACGTCGAGCAAATCCTCCTCATCCGCACACTTGTCAACGTCATCCTCATAGTCTTCCTGTTCTTCCCCCTCCTCCTCCTCCTCCTCCTCCTCCTCCTCCTCCTCCTCCTCCTCCTCCTCCCTCTCCTCCTCCTCCCTCTCCTCCTCCTCCTCCCTCTCCTCCCTCTCCTACTCTGGCTTCCAAAAGGCCTTCTTTGAAGGCCTTCTGAGAGGCCCTCCACCTCCTCAGACGGCCAACCCCTCTGCGCCCCCCCACCCTGGTGCGCGCCGCCGACCGCCGACCAGGGAGGAGGAGGAGGAGGAGGAGGAGGAGGAGAAGGAGGTGGAGGACGGGGAGGAGGAGGACGATGAGGAGGAGGAGGAGGAGGAGGAAGAAGAAGAGGAGGAGGCGCCCATCCTTCTCCTCCTCCTCCTCTTCATCCCCTCCTCCCCCTCCTCCCTCCTCCGAGGCGCGACTGGCCGCAGCATCTGCATGGCGCCCAGCCGGGAGGCATCCGGGGCGGTCCGGCGTTGTGTCCGAGGCGCGCCCCTACCCCGCCCGCCATGGAGTCCTTGCACACTTCCTCCGGGCTCTACTGACCCAGGTCAATGCGCACCTGAGTAAGTTTGGCTCTGCAGGATCCTGCAAGCAAGATCCTGCAGGATCCTGCGAGATCCTGCCCATGCAGGCAAGTCTAGGTCAATGCACCCTGCCGCTGTATGATTCTGCGAGGTCCGGCGCTCTGGCTGACCCCCGGTTGCATTGACCCCCGTCTCAAGGCTCCTGTCTTCCATCAGAGACGTGTTTGCTGGTCCTGAGTGCGACATCCGCCACCGTGCCTCGAGGCAAGAAGAAGGGTGTCGTTAGGTGCCTTCGAGTTTTGCGAAACGTAAACATTCGCTGAGAGGCTCACAACCCAAGATTTTTGGCGCTCTTGGGCGCTCTTGCGCGCGATCGCTTCTGGTCGCGTGACGTGCCCTGCGGCCACAGGACCCCAAGACGGACCAAGAGTGTCCGCTAAACACGCGCCCAATGAAGTCCAAGATCCAAGAGGTCCCCAAGACAGCCTAAGAACGCTCCACGACGCCCAAGATGCCCCCAAGACGGCCCAAGACGCCCCCACGACCCCCCAAGAGGGCTCCAGTAGGACCCCCACGAGGACCCCCAGAGGTCGAACTCGATGAACTTTCAAGAATCGTTTCTCAAGGGGGGCACAAACTGACATGTCGAGCCCTCCCCCAACCCGAGATGACCCCCGAGATAACCGGCGGGCTCCCGAAATTCCCCCAACAGCTCCAGGAGGCCCCAGAGAGGCCCAAATCAGGCGCCCCAAGATGCACCCGAAAAGTCCCCCGAGAGGCCCCCAAACCAGGCCGAGACGGCGTCCAAGACGCTCCCGAGACGCCTCCCCAGAAGTCCCCACGGGCGTCCAAGAGGCCTCAGACCCTCATTCCAGGCTCGGTGGCGGCAGGGGCCGAAATACACTCGATATCTCATGAGAGCGAATAGCAAAGACGCGCGATGAGGATGCAAGCCCCTTGGACGCGCATGTCAAGACCATTCGAGCGGGGCTGGCCATCGAGAGTGGTTGAGGACGGACCGAAGATGACCGAGGAGGCAAGGATGCAAGGTACCCGTGGGGAGTCGATCATCCTTACTCTCAGTTATCAGTCTCGATTCTACCCAAGCCAGCTCTAGAAGCAGAAACAAGCAGCGTCAACATAAAATCGTCGCGCGGATGTGTTGGATCGGCGCCGGACCTTTCCTGCCGAGCGAAGCGCGACAGGGGCGGCCCCCGAGGCGCCGCCAGGGAGAGCCCAGCGCACATCCAAGAACTCTGCGCGGAACTCCGAAAGTGCATGTAAGACGAAGCCAGGACGAGGATAAAATCGTGTGGGATGAAACGACGAGGATCTGAGACCCAGCGGCTCTGGAAGCTCTCTCGGGCTCCGCGGCCTTCTCAAAGCGTTCCGCAACGCTCTGAGAGAGTTCCGGAACGCTCCGGAACGGACCCAGACCCCCGCCGTTACGTTATTTTCACAACGTCTGGAACCCTTCCCCAGGACCAGCTTTTTGTCCTGAGCCGTTGTTTGACGGTCCCGAGGTGCGGTAAGGGGCCCCCCGGGCCCGAAAATAGCAAAAAGCCTCCCGTCGCGATTGTTTCACAACGCCAGGAGGCCTTGGGACCTGGTCCTCTGCAGATCGGCTACTCGTAAGAGCGGCCCTTCGCAGGAGTGGCCCTTGAGGCGTGGCGTTCGGGGCGCGGCTGGGGGCCAACCCCAAGCCGCCTGTCGGACCGCATGCCACGATCGACTGGCCGCGCACCAAGGCAACTCTTGCATTAAGTCGAGCGTGTCCCTCCACAGGAGGAATATCCAAAAATAGTCAAACAAAAGAATCAGGGGACGATGTTTCAATCACTTTCGGACTATGCTTGAATATTGTTTGTATATTGCTCGATGTTTCTTCCAAAATGCGCCTGTAGGACATGCCCGGCCTAACTCTTGCGTGCAGCCGATTCGAAGCCCTCCAGCCAGCACTCTGGGCGCTCGTTAGGGTAGTCCTGTCCATACGATCTCACAGCGCGGTTGATCACAGACGAGGCACCGCCGGCAAGTGGGCCTCACCCCCGTAGTGGGGTCGGGGGCCCCGGGCGAGTCCACGGAAGGCCTCGGGCCTTCTCAGAAATTGTCTACGCCTTCTTCGAAAACGGAGACGGCCTCTCGAAAAAGGCCAGAGGGCTTCTGAGAAGCCAAGCTGTCTTCTGAGAAGGCCTGCCCCCTCTCAATTCCTCCCAGGGCGCGGCGGAGATCAGAGACGGCTAACCCCGCTCGCAAAACCTGGGTCAGCCAGAGGGTGACGGAGGGAATCAACTAGGCCCCGTTGGCGACCGTCAGGCCCGTCACGCCAGCCACGACACGCTCAAAAACATTCGCCTCCAACCTCGAGATCATGGGTCAAGATCGGCCCCGAGACCTCTCCAGGTGTCAGTTCTGACAACGCGCGACGAGAGCGAACAAAGAAGCCGAAACATGCACGAGGACCTCCATCCTCTCAACGCCCGACGCCCATCTGAAAGGGATCGCTACACGGGAAGGGCCCACAGCCGATCCAAAAACCCGCACGGACCTCCGAGACAGTATGTTTCTCCGGCTGTCGTTTCAAAAACGAGAACCATAGAGGAAAGAGAACTATGCACATACACAGATTCTGGCCAGGCTCATCTTGAGCCCAGGATCGGTGCATACCGCCCTCATACCTTGGCCAGGAAGGTATATGCACCGATCTTGGGTCAAGAATGGGCCTTGCCAAGATCGGTGCATGTGAATAACTCTATTCGCCCGAAACCTAGCATCGAGCAGGAAACATCCGATGCGGAAGCTCGCTACGGAAGGGCGGAGCTGAGGCCGCCTTCTTCACGTTCCATTGGCCGTAGGCCTGCCGACGGGCGGGGCGGTGCTGGCGAGGAGTGGCGCGCCCGAAACAGTTTCAGACAATAGGTATAAAATAGCAAACGGCAAGTGAAAATGATAGAACAACACGCTCAGACATGCAGGGAGGAGGAAGAGGGAAGGGCAAGGAGATGACGACGCTAGAAGTATTGGTGCGGGCTGTGGGACTCTGAGGGGTGCTCCCGTTGAGTCAACACACGCCCACAGCCCCCATGAAACTCCATCCCGAGAAATCTAGGGGTCTTCTAGGCATGGGTGCCAGCTGTCAGATCATGGAACGTTGTCCAGGACCGACAGTGGCCGCTGTTGGGCAGGCGACTTTGGTTGAGGGAGCGCGATCTACGGTTGCTTGTCTGCGGGACTGGGAAAGTCCCTTCTCCCCCCTCCTGAAAACCGGGGGAATCAAATTTCCCCCCTGGGACTGGGGTGAGGTGGTAGGACACACCCTGGGCTCGGAAACCAAGCGGGTGAGAAAGGAGTGCAGAACCCCTCCCCGCTCAATCCTGGGTCGAACCGGGAGGCCGGGGGGGGATCACCTTGGGCAGGGACCGACCGTCTTGGCACCTAATTACCACAACATTTTCCTAGAACCCAAAAATATTCGAAGACCAGAAACAATTAGAACATAAACCCGATGTGTTAAAACAAACAAGTCTCCGCCAGAAATGTTCTAAGAACATTTCGTGCAGACCACAAAAGGTTCTTACAACATTCTTTGGTGGGCCAGGACGTTTCGCCACTGCTTGACTCCTGGTGCGAACCAAATTCTTGAGGGGGGGTCGGGCCAGGGCCGTCGCCGGTCGGGGCCAGGCTGGGACCGGGACCGGGATTGGGGACGGCTGGGGCCGGGGGCTCGGGCCGGTGCTCGGGCCGAGGCCGGGCCAAGGGCCCCGCACTGGCCTTGTTGGAGCTTGGTTGAAGCTTGGTTGGAGCTTTGATCGAGCTGTGGTGGAGTTTTGTTTGAACTTTGTGTTCAGCTTTCTTTCAGCTTTGTTTGAGCTTTTGTCGAGCTTGTCGGAGCTTTATTCGAGCTTTGTTCGAGCTTCGCTCGAGCTTTGATTGAGCGTTGGTTGAGCATTGCTTGAGCTGTTGTTGAACTTTGTTTGAGCTTTGTTCCAAGTGTTTTGAGCTTTGTTGGAGCTTTTTCGGTGTGTTGCTCGAGCTTCGTTTGCGCTTTGGTTGAGCTTTGTTGGAATTATGTTGGAGCGTTGCTTGAGCTTTGTTTGAACTTCGATTGCGTTGTGTTTGAGCTTTTGTTGAGCTGTGTTGGAGCTTTGTTTGAGCTTTGATTGAGCTCTGCTTGAGCTTTGTTTGAGCTATGCTTAAGCTCTACTTGAGCTGTGTCTGAGGTAAGTATAGCTTTGTATGAGCTACGTTGGATCCTTGCTTGAGCTTTGTCTGAGTTCTTGAACTTTGGTCAAGTTTTGATTGAGATTGCGACGACGCCGACGTCGACGGAAACAGCGACGGCGACGCCGACAGTTCGGACATCAAATGCAGCCTTCACTCGTTGATGGGACGAAGCAATGGGAGGAGTATAAATCACAACCACCAGGGACGCCGATCGGGCGGGGACATCATATGTGCGATTCACTCGGCGGCGTGGCGTTCACAACAAACGAAGACGCGGGTCGGACGGGCGGGACAGCACATGAAACCTTCACGCACGAATGGGACGTCATCACCAGCATCATCACCACCATCACTATCGCGGGCAACCGGGGGGAGGAGGAGGAGGAGGAGGAGGAGGAGGAGGAGGAGGAGGAGGAGGAGGAGGAGGAGGAGGAGGAGGAGGAGGAGGAGGAGGAGGAGGAGGACGACGAGGAGGAGGACGAGGAGGAGGAGGAGGAACGAGAACCATCAGCATCATCGCGGGCAACCCACCACGGCCTCAGGGGACCCCCGCAGGTGCCCGTGTGGGGGGGGGGAAGGGCAGGCACCTGGGCGAGAAGGGCGACGTCACGACTCCGAAATGCGGCCCGCTCGCCTCACGTGCCCCGCTTGCCGCGCCCGCCCGCGCGTGCTCGAGCTTTGTTGGAGCCTTGTTTGAACTGTGCTTGTGCTTTCTTTGGTCAATATTCCAATGCTGTTTACGCTTTGTCCCCAACGATGCAGGATGAAGAGCCGGTCCCGGGGGAAGGGTCGGGACTTCAGGGCATCGCGCGCTGAAAGAAACAGGACGTCGCATGTCTGGGGGGGGGCTCGCCGCCGAACCTTGGACAAGGAAAGGAGGCCTTGGACAAAGGCATAATCAGCGAGGGACCTCAGGCAGGGAGAGAGCCCCTGTCGGGCCTCGGCCGCGCCAAGCGGCACGGGGAACGCCGGTGAAAGGCCCGTGGGAGGACCCCACAGCGAGCCCCGTTCTCAAAGCCAAACTGGGCCTCATCCCCGAGAGCGCTGTCCGTGCCAAGCATTTGCAGCGCGTCCGGGGGGGGAGCGAGAGGGAGCAGGCCTCCTCAGAAAGGCGTTGGGGCTTCTCAGAAGCCCTCCCGCCTTCTGAGAACCCCTCTGTGGCATCGGAGGACAACTACAAAGCTTCTCCCAAGGCTGGCGCCAGAGGCCTTCCGAGCCTTCTGAGAGGCCCGCCCTGTATGCCTCCCCCCCTGGGGCTCGCCAGAGAAAAACGTAGGTGGCGAACTCCGAACCCTATCCCCACCAACCACCGATTCTCCTGAGCCGATGGGAGGCGGGGGCAGGGCTCGGATTTCTCCCCACGCGCTCGACACATTCCAAGCCCTGCCCCCGCCCACCATCGAGCTGCCTGAACCGGCGAGGGTCGGGCTCTGCTTTCGCCGCCGACTGACGGCTCCGCGCAGCGGCGAGTGCAAGCTCTGGCGCGCAAAACGGCCGCGGGCAGCGGGCGGCAAGGCCTCCGCGGACACGCTCTGGCGGCCCCGGGACGGCATGTCCCCGCCGAAGCCCGGTGGAGGTTCGTCGAGCTCGTCGTCCTCCTGGCAGGATGCGTGTATATATATATATATATATATATATATATATATATACTAGAACCACGCGCGCGCTTCGCGCGCGCTTAGGTTCTGTCGAGTCACAGACCCAGGAATCGTTGTGAGAAGAAATTGGTGACGCGAAGCGTCGTGGGGGCGTCCTTGGACGTCTGGGGTCTCCTGGGGCCTCTTGAGGGGCCTCCTGGGGGCCTCCTGGCGGCCTCTTGGGGCGGAAGGCTCGAGCTTGCGGTTCGTGGTCCCCCTCTGGGCCCCCTCTTGGGCCCGTCTTGGGGCCCTCTTGGGCCATCTTGGGCGCCTCTTGGGCCGTCTTGGGGCCCTCTTGGGCTGTCCTGGGGCCCTCTTGGAAGCTTCTTGGGCCGTCTTGGGGCGGTCTTGGGCGCCTCTTGGGCCGTCCTGTAACGTCGGAAAGCCCAAAAGGCGACTTTGTTGAAAATGTACGTTTTACGATGGGAATGGGTCAATTTTTGCGTCTAGGGGCCCTCTTGGGACGCATGTTGGAGGCTTCTTGGGGCCTCTTGGGGGCGTCCTTGGACGTCTGGGGTCTCCTGGGGCCTCTTGAGGGGCCTCCTGGGGGCCTCCTGGCGGCCTCTTGGGGCGGAAGGCTCGAGCTTGCGGTTCGTGGTCCCCCTCTGGGCCCCCTCTTGGGCCCGTCTTGGGGCCCTCTTGGGCCATCTTGGGCGCCTCTTGGGCCGTCTTGGGGCCCTCTTGGGCTGTCCTGGGGCCCTCTTGGAAGCTTCTTGGGCCGTCTTGGGGCGGTCTTGGGCGCCTCTTGGGCCGTCCTGTAACGTCGGAAAGCCCAAAAGACGACTTTGTTGAAAATGTACGTTTTACGAAGGGAATGGGCCAATTTTTGCGTCTAGGGGCCCTCTTGGGACGCATGTTGGAGGCTTCTTGGGGCCTCTTGGGGGCGTCCTTGGACGTCTGGAGGCCATCTTCAGCATCTCGGAGCCCTCTTGGAGGCCTCTTGGAAGTTTCTTGGGCCGTCTTGGGCGCTCCTGGGGCCGTCTTGTCTGACCGGGGAGGCCTCCGGCAAGCCCCGACGAGCCTCCGGGCCCCCCGGAGCCCACATTTGTGGTCGAGGTCCCGGCCCCGGGCCCCCGGACCCGGTGCGCCGTTATGTGTATATATATATATATATATATATATATATATATAATCGTGTATATATATATATATATATAGAGAGAGAGAGAGAGGTCCATATATGTCTATATATATATATATACCAATATAATCGCCATCCGTCGGACGTCCAATCCCCGTGCATTGTTCGGTGTCGTGCGTGCAGTTCTCTCCGCAACATGACCCAACATGCTCTTCGAAGGTCCCAGCCGACAACAAAAAAAACGCACGTTCGAACGATGTCGAATCTAAGCACGTCAAGATGCGTAAATCTAAACCTACAGATCTATGTATACACACCGTAGGGCCCGCCAATGCGGATAAGAGTTAGGGGTCGGGCGCTGGGCAGATCGTGGGTGAGTCGCGGGTGGGGCGTGCGTGGGTCGCGGGGTTGGTCGCGGCGGGGTGGGTCGCAGGGTGGGTGGCAAGCGGGTCGCGGGCGAGGACGACGGCAACGCATCGCAACACTAGCTCAGCAAGAGGAATTCGCACACGGAATGCCAGTTCTGACACACACTGTGGGACAATGAATGGCAGCTCGCCACCCTCACGTTGATACAAATATGCATACATACGCACATCATAATCGACATAATCTGGATATAACAATTACTCCGATGTTAGGACCCCGCGTGAAAATCTATGTAGCCTGTCCCTCGTCAATTTCTTCTTCGACTGGCGGAGTCCTTCCTTCCGCCCTCTGCGTCCTCCTCCTCCTCCTTCTCATCCTTCTCGTGCTCCTGTCCATTCTCGTCCTACTCGATGCATGTCTTATCCTCTTCCTCTTCAGCCTCCTCCTTCTCTTCCTCTACCTCCTCGTTCTCCGCCTCCTCCTCTCCCTCCCCCATCCTGCTCGTATTATTCCTCCTCTCCGTCCTTTCCTTCCTCCTCCTTCACCTCCCCTCCTTATCCCCCTTTTCATCTGCGCCCCGCCTGTCCTCCTCAAGCTTGGAGAAGCCAAAAGTGATGACAACTACATGATTCCGATGACCCGTTCGGAGGGCCCCATAAGGAGGGAGATCCCGCCAGAGACGTCCTTGCACTTCACTCACAGGAGCCTGAAACATTCGCCATGCTCAAGCTTGAAGAAGCTAAAACAACAAAACTTACAGGATTCCGATGACCCGCTCAGATTACTCACATGAGCTGCGGGTTCCATAGGGAGGGGGCTCCCGCCTGTGAGTCCTCGCAGCCCACTCACAGACGAGGCTCCCGCCTGAGACTTTCGCCATGCTCAAGCTTGAAGGAGCCAACAGTTACGACTGTTACAAGATTCCGACGACCCGCTCGGATTACTCACATGACTTGCGGCCCCATAGGGAGGTGGTTCCCGCCTGAGACTCCATCGCAATTCACCCACAAACGAGGCTCCCATCTCAGATTCCCGCCATGCTCAAGCTTGAAGAAGCCACACATGACGACAAGTACAAGATTCCGATGGCCCGCTCGGATTCCTCACGTGGGCTCCCGCCTGAGACTTCCCCGCGAATCACTCACAGACGAGGCTCCCGCCTGAGATTTCCGCCATACTCAAGCTTGGGGAAGCCAGAGTTGACGGCGGCTACAAGATTTCGATAACCCGTTCGGGTTTATCGCGTGAACTGCAGGCCCCATAGGGGGGGGGTTCCCGCCTGAGACGTCCCCGCAATTCGCTCGCAGGCGAGGTTCCCGCCTGTAACGTCCCCCAGATTCATGCATCAGCGGCTCAGAAGCGACGACACTTGCATGATTCCGGCGACCCGCTCGGATTACTCACGTGAGCTGCGGGCCCCATCACGAGGGGCCCCCCGCCTGAGTCTCCCTCGCGATTCGTTCACAGGCGATGTTCCCGCCTGAGACACTCGCCATGCCCAAGCTTGAAGAAGCTGAAACACAAACTTAAACTTACAGGATTGCGATGACACTTACGGGAGTCCGATGGCCCGCCTCGGATTCGAACGTGAAGTGCGGGCCCGATATGAGTCTGCGTCGCAGTTCGCTCACAAACGAGGTTCCCGCCTGAGATGAGTGGGTCAGTGAGTGGGTAGAAGTGATGATGATGCTGCTGATGGTGATGCTGATGATCCTGATGATGCGGGTGGTAATGATGATGATGGTGATGATGATCATGATGATGATGTTGATGATGATGATGGTCCCCGCGTCTGCAGGGGCCAGGAGCTCCTAGCTCGTACTGCCGTTCGGACCGAGTCGCTCCCCTATTGGCCCTGCGGCGGCAACGCTCGGCCCCGTGTCCAGGGCACCCTCGCAAATTCACCTAAGTGCCAAGAGGCCGCCCACCGCCTGGACCGAAGCAAGCGGAGGACACAGCGCCCGAGCAGTCACGGCGACTCAGCCCACAACGGCGGCGCGCACGCGCCAGCAGGGCAACGTAGTCCTCCTGTCGCTCATGGCCCAGGGCGGACACCGTTGCTCTGCCGAGGCGCGCGGGGGCGATCCCGAGGGTCGGCGCAAGCACCTACCCCCAAGGTTCTGCCTCCGCGAGCGGCGCGAACAGCAGTGCGACCGAGCGGGCTGGCACGCAGATAGCGCTGCCATCCTGGAAGAACTGCAGGCAAGTGCACAGCCCGAGCCAAGCAGCATCGAGCGAACGTCGGAAGAGCAACGCAGTCCAAGGCCCACGGCCACATAGACACTGCAGGTCATCCAATGCCTGCGGAATTCGATCCTGGGCGTCAGTATTCACCTACGCCCGCGGTTCGCTCTCCGCTCGTCAGCCTCGGGAGCGCGGACAAGCAGCGAAACAAATGCACGGTGGGCCCAAGAGGGGCGGGGGGGGGTGAACCCCGACGCGCGCGGAGCCCCGTGGGGTACAGCCTACGCCACGGGGCCCCTCCCCCATCCGACGGCAAGCACGCTCGTCGCAAGCATTCGCGATCCTCGGACCCGCCTAGCGCCACGAGCAGAACGAAACAGCGCTCGACGGACCGATGGGTCCCGAGCCGCAGCGCGCTGGACTACACTGGGCAGAGCTGGCAGCAGGGCCAGCAAGAAGCCCCGCAGGGCACTATGAAGAGAACGCGGCAGCAAGTGGGGAGCAAATCGCCGCATCGGACATCTGAGCGTCTAAGGCCTGGGGCGCCTCGAGTAGGGCCCCGAGGAGGAGGCCGGCCGCTGCGAGGGCCAACCGCGAGGCGGCCGCCGCCTCCAGGAGCTCGCCTGCAGACGAGAAGCCTATGCCGATGCCATCGCCGCCGTAGGGAACGGATCGGCCGCCGACGTCGCCGAACCCGTCGCCGTATGTTCCTGCACGGGCAGTGGCGTCGCCCGCAGCAGCTGGGCCAGCGCCTCGGAGGACAATGAGACCCCCCCCCGCTGCACAGTGCTGCTGGATGATCGCTTGCACGTCGTCCCACTCGATCTCGTCCACGTGGGCTCCAGGCGCCGCGGCGCCCTCGGGAACTCACCGCATCGCCCTCGAGCTCCCCGGGAACGGGGGTCGCAGCCGCCCAATTCAGCTCGTCGGCGAGGCGCCTCATGTCGGCGGGACCCCTGCCGTCCCACAGTGAGAGCCCTGAAACCGAGTGGACCGTCGGTGAGAGCGGGCAGGGGAGGCGAGGCCCTGAGGCCCACAGCCCCCTCGAGAAAGACATCGAAGGTGTCGAACCCGTCGGCGTCGGCGAACTCGCACACGTCGCCTCGATCCTCCACCACGAGGGGCGGGAGCGAGCCGTCAGATGCGTCGTCGTTGTGTTCGCCCACGGCCGCAGGCACATCCGTGCACCTCGCGATGCACGCCTGCAGCTGCTCCCTGAGCGTGGCGAGCTGGTCCCGCAGCGAATGCTCCGCAGCAGCCCAGCCTTGCTGTAGGGAGCGGATGTCCTGGGCCTGCTTCGCGACCAGGGCCCTGTACTCCCTCAGCATGGACAGCTGGTAGCCGGAGCCGGAACCGAGGCCCAGGTCCACGTCGGCATTCGCGCCCCTGTGCGGCCTGGCGCCCTCCAGCTGCTGCAGGGGCCCGGCGTCCCGCAGATCCGACTCCAGCGCCTCCGCGAACCGACAGGGGCTGCTCTCGAAGGTCCAGGCGACCCCACAGGAGGCCTGGAACAGCCGCAGCTTGTCGGGCAGGGATAACATGCCGATGATCCGTACCTTGAGCCCGTCGGGCAGCGGGCCCAACAGGGCGGCAGCAGGCGGGAGCGCGGGCCGCCGCGCCTCCTCGAGCCGCTGGCGCAAAACCCGCCGCAGGTGACCGAGGTGATCGTCGGGCGGTCGTTCGCGCGGCCTGCCACCCAGGGGTTCCGTCTGGACGCTGCCGTCCGCCGCAACGGCGACGACCTGGTCCGCGAAACTCACGGTGTGGGGGCGCGTTGCCGCCGCGCGCCTCCCTCCATTCGTGGCCGAGGGCAGCCAGCCCAGGCGGGGGCCTGCGGCGGCCCGCGATAGGCCCGCTGCGGACGCAGCGCGTGCCACGCGACGTTCCGCCGCCGCCGCATTGCGCCTGGGACGCGGCATCCCGCGGCGGCTCGGCGCAATGCGGGGCGCGCAGCAGCCTCACGGTCCTGCCAGGAACCTGGGCCGCCGCTGGCCGCCTTGCCGACTGCCGCCACGGCCGCGAGGAGACGCCGTGCCCGCGCCCGTCGGCGGGCCGCCGAGGCGCCTACCTCGGCCTCTTCCTTCCTGCGCAGCGCACTGCCGCGCCTGGTGGACCGCCCCGCCATCGCGACTGCGGGCAGCCCCTTGTCGCCATTGCTTATCTCCCAATCGCGCGCCGCTGACCGCTGGGCGTGGGCACCTGCGGGAGACCGGAGAAACAGCTTGAGCCAAGATAGTTACGGATGATGAAGATAATGATGATGATGATGGCGATGATGATGGAGATGATGGCGATGATGGTGATGATACTGATGATGCTGCTGATGATGATGATTGTGATGATGACGATGATGGTGATGATGATGATGATGATGATGATGATGATGGTGATGATGGTGATGATGATGATGATGATGATGATGATCATGACCATGACCATGACCATGACCATGATGATGATGATGATGATGATGATGATGATGATGATGATGATGATGATGATGATGATGATGATCGGGTAAGGCCATAACGGTCTGGGAGTGGTGCTCGGCGCAGCCGATAACAATTATCGTGCACACCCGCGTGATGATGATGATGATGATGACGATGATGATGATGATGATGATGTTGATGATGATGATGATGATGATGATGATGATGATGATGCTGCTGCTGCTGCTGCTGTTGCTGCTGCTGCTGCTGCTGCTGCTGCTGCTGCTGCTGATGATGAGAGAGTAAGTGAGTGAGTGGGCGTGTAAAAGCGGGTGGGTGAGTGGGTGAGTGCGTGAGTGAGTGATGATGAGAAGTGTGTGAGTGAGTGTGTGAGTGGGTGAGTGTGTGGGCGAGTGAAGGAGTGTGAGTGATGATTTGTGTGAGTGATTGAGTGAATGAGTGTGCGATTAGAGAAGAGGACAGGGTGTGCTCTCTTGTTCCTGCGCGGTGGGTTCGCAGAGACAATAAGGACCCCACTTTGGATGTTGGATGTGGGGAACAATGGAACACTGGAGAGAGAAACAGGTACTGATACCACTAATCCCTGGACCTCGCCCGGGGTGCATTCTGAATAGGATTTCGACGCGAATCCAGCGGTGGCAACGAGGACCTCCAAGCAGGTCCAAAAAGAGGAAAACGAAGGATGGGTGGCGGTATGGGTGCGGTGCCCACATGCGAAAATCTAGCAACTACCATCATACCTTCAGAGCCCGCGCGAACTCCTCGACTCGGCGTTGGGCCGCCACCTGGTGGCGCCTCTGGCGCCGCCTCCAGCGCGCTGCGCGCCCCAGAGGAGGAGGCGCCCCAGAGACTACCCAGGGATCCGCTGCCTTCACTGCTGCAGCACGGTGTCCCCGAAGTCTTGACTAAGACGAAGCCAGGACGAGGAAAGATTCAGGTGAGGATAAATCGGGGATGTCTGAGATCCGGCGGCTTTGGAGGATGCCCCGAAGACCGCGGCCTTCTCAGAGCGTTCTGGAACGCTCTGAAGCGGTCTGAACGCTCTGGAACGGACAGTTCCTCCTCGTCTTGACTCCATCCCGGGAACCGGCTTCTCATACCGAGCAATTCGTGTTAAGGTCCTGGGCTCCGCGATTGGCCTCAAGAGGCCGAAACCGTGTACTTTAATAGGCTGGATGTCCGGGGCCCACAAAAATCCGCGCGGTTCTCCGAAAGCGTTTGCGTCTGTGCCACGTGCTGTTCTGCGAGGAGGGGCTGGACGGCGGGAGCACGCTCGGCCACCGCCCAGGGAGGGGTGCCGCGCGAGGGGCGTGCGAGGCGATCAACCAGCCCACGCACGGCGGGCTTGCGTCGTGAGGGACCTGCGCGTGAGCTTCCTACACCACGCGGATCGCTCCACCTCGAGCAATCGGGGCTCTCCGAAAGCGCCGATCGTTCCATGTTGACCGCTGGCGGACTTCAACTTTCAACGCCCGCGGTGCGCAGTCGTCGCGGAGTCGGCACGCCACGAACCTACCGCAACCATGCCACGTGGAAGAGTTCAACAGACGGCAACATCGCAAGCATGTCAGCCAAGGACAACATCAGAACACAATATCGAACGTCTCACAAAGAACGCGCACGCCTGGGGGGGTCCTTACGGAGGAGATCGGTTCACTGGCCAGGGGTCGGTCAGGCTTGCAGACGGCCCGGGGTCTGAACTGTCGAAGGGGATGAGGAGGTCGAGGAGGAGGAGGAGAGGGAGGAGGAGGAGGAGGAGGAGGAGGAGGAGGAGGAGGAGGAGGAGGAGGAGGAGGAGGAGAAAAGAGGGAGGAGAGGGAGGATGAGGAGGAGGAGGAGGGGGAGGAGGAGGCAGGGAGGAGGAGGCGGAAGAGAAGGGGAAGGAGGACGGAGCAGCAAGATGCATGATCAACATCGGAGAATGCCACCTGAAAATCAACAGGTTGAACGTATATTTCCCAATTTTCCTGTGGTGTTGGGTCCTCATTTTGAAAAGACGGTGCCCCGCGTTCCCTCCTTCCTCCTCTCCTCCTCCCCCTCCTCCCTCCTCCCTCCTCTATTTCGGCACACCCCTCACACGTTTCGTGGCCCCATAGGGGGCTCCGCCGAAGGCCCCAGTGCTGCCGCCCGCATGCGTCACGCACACCCCATTCGGCACACCCCTCACACGTTTCGTGGCCCCATAGGGAGACCCACCGAAGGCCCCAGTGCTGCGGCCCGCATGCGTCACGCACACCCAATTCGGCACACCCCTCACACGCTTCGTGGCCCCATAGGGAGCTACGCCGAAGGCCCCAGTGCTGCCGCCCGCATGCGTCACGCACACCCAATTCGGCACACCCCTCACACGTTTCGTGGCCCCATAGGGAGCTACGCCGAAGGCCCCAATGCTGCCGCCCGCATGCGTCACGCACACCCGATTCGGCACACATCTCACACGCTTCGTGGCCCATAGGGAGCTCCGCCGAAGGCCCCAGTGCTGCCGCCCGCATGCGTGACGCACACCAAATTCGGCACACCCCTCACACGTTTCGTGGCCCCATAGGGAGCTCCGCCGAAGGCCCCAGTGCTGCCGCCCGCATGCGTCACGCACACCCAATTCGGCACACCCCACAGTTTCGTGGGCCCCATAGGAGCTCCGCCGAAGGCCCCAGCGGGCCGCGCTCACGTGCGTCCCCGCACCCATCCCGACCCCCTCACAACAACAGGTTTCGTGGCCCCATAGGGAGCTCCACCGAAGGCCCCAGTGCTGCCGCCCGCATGCGTCCGCACACCCAATTCGGCACACCCCTCACACGTTTCGTGGCCCCATAGGAGCTCCGCCGAAGGCCCCAGTGCTGCCGCCCGCATGCGTCACGCCCACCCAATCGGCACACCCCTCACACGTTTCGTGGCCCCATGGGGAGCCCCGCCGAAGGCCCCAGTGCTGTGCCCGCATGCGTCCCGCACACCCAATTCGGCACACCCCTCACACGTTTCGTGGCCCCATAGGGAGCCCACCGAAGGCCCAGTGCTGCCGCCCGCATGCGTCCCGCACACCCATTTCGGCACACCCCTCACACGTTTCGTGGCCCCATAGGGAGCTCCACCGAAGGCCCCAGTGCTGCCGTCCGCATGCGTCCCGCGCACCCATTTCGGCACACCCCTCACACGTTTCGTGGCCCCACAGGGAGCTCCACCGAAGGCCCCAGTGCTGCCGTCCCGCATGCGTCCCGCACACCCATTTCGGCACACCCCTCACACGTTTCGTGGCCCCATGGAAAACTCCTCCGACGGCCCCAGTGCTGCCGCCCGCATGCGTCCCGCACACCCAATCCGGCACACTCTTCAAACGCTTCGTGGCCCCATAGGGAGCTCCACCGAAGGCCCCAGTGCTGCCGCCCGCATGCGTCCCGCACACCAAATTCGGCACACCCCTCACACGTTTCATGGCCCCATAGGGGGCTCCGCCGAAGGCCCCAGTGCTGCCGCCCGCATGCGTCCCGCACGCCCAAGTCGGCACACCCCTCACACGCTTCGTGGCGCCATAGGGAGCTCCACCGAAGGCCCCAGTGGCGGCGCTCACATGCGCATGCGTCCCGCACACCCATTTCGGCACATCCATCACAGGTTTCGTGGCCCCATCATCCACCGGAGGCCCCAGTGGCGGCGCTCACATGCGTCACCCACACCCACCCAATTCGGCACACCCCTCACACGTTTCGTGGCCCCATAGGGAGCTCCACCGAAGGCCCCAGCGGCCGCGCTCACATGCGTCCCCGCCACCCATCCCGGCACGCCCCTCACAACAACAGGTTTCGTGGCCCCATAGGGAGCTCCACCGAAGGCCCGAGTGGCACCGCCCGCATGCGTCACCACCCGCGCCCAATTCGGCACACCCCTCACACGTTTCGTGGCCCCATAGGGAGCTGCACCGAAGGCCCCAGTGACGGCGCTCACATGCGTCCCCGCCACACATCCCAGTACACCCCTTACGCGCTTCGTGGTCTCATAGGGAGTTCCAGCGAAGGCCCCAGTGGCGCTTACATGCGTCTCGCCACCCATCCCGGCACCCCCCCCGCAGCAGCATCATGTTTCAGGCCCCAGCGGCGGCCCTCACATGCGTTGCCGCCACCCATGTCGGCACGCCCCGCGCGTGTTTCATGTCCCCATAGGGAGCTTCACCGAATGCCCCAGTGGCACCCATCTCGGCACACGCCTCACACGCTCCGTGGTCCTATGGGGAGTTCCACTGAAGATGAAACCCGCAGCTGCGGTACTGACAACTGCATATGGTTGGGTTCTTCGCCAGGCTAATTTCGTTTCCGCCCCCCATCACCAAAAACACCCAAGTCTGATGGACCCCGAGAACAAACCGTCAAGAAGAGAGGATACGGGCAAATCCGCGCAAAATCGGCCCCCAACCCCCTCCCTGGTACATCTGGTGCAGTTGTTCCCCCATCCGTGTTTGACGGTCCCAAAGCCCAGAAACAGCTCCCTGAGACGGAACAAGGCAAGAAATCTTCTCAAATCCAGAACCTCCAACCACCCCCCCTCCCGCTGGCCAGAACCAATGTTGGGCCACCTCAGACCCCATCCGGCTCCAACCCTGATCGATCCGTCCTTCGGCACCCATCACGCGGGCGAGGGTGCGGCGCGGGTCCTCTTCCTCCTCCTCGTCATGCCTCACCGCGGCCATCTTCGACGCCTCGTGCAGCTGCCCCTTCACCTGTGGCTCGGCTTGTGTTGGGGGGGGCGGCTCGACAGCATGTTTCGCCGAACCTATGAGAAGCGCATGGTGAGCATGTATTCAAACATGTGCACAGGTCGATAAATCTATATGTATGTGTATATATATACCTATACGACCACCCTTCGAGTGATAAGGAGGTTCGGGGGGGGGTGGGGGGGGAACCAACGTCTCACTCGATCGGTCTCACTATCGATCTCAGTATCGATCTCACTATCGGTCTCGCTCGATCGATTTCACTCGATCGATCTCACAATCGATCTCACTCGATCTATCTCATTCGATCGATCTCACAATTGATCTCACAATCGATCTCACAATCGATCACACAATCGATCTCACATTCGGTCTCAATATCGATCTCACTATCGATATCACAATCGCTCTCACAATCAACGTCATCATCATCATCATCATCATCATCATCATCAGCATCATCATCATCATCATCATCATCATCATCATCATCATCACCATCATCAACATCATCAACATCAACATCATCACCAACATCGTCATCAATATGAGGGCACCGTCATCATCATCATCATCATCATCATCATCATCATCATCATCATCAACATCATCATCATCATCATCATAAACATCGTCATCATCATCAACGTCAGCATCATCATCTGGACAACATCATCATCATCATCATCATCATCATCATCATCATCATCATCATCATCATCATCATCATCATCATCATCATCATCTCATCATCAACATCATCATCATCATCGGGACACAGTCATCGTCATCATCATCAGCAGCATCATCAGAATCATCATCATAATCGGGACACCATCATGATCACCATCGTTTCCATCATCAGCATTATCATCAACATCGTCATCATCCTCGGGACACCATCATTATCATGATCATCGCATCATCATCATCGACATCAGCATCATCATCATCATCATCATCATCATCATCATCATCATCATCATCATCATCATCATTATCATCATCATCATTATAAACAACATCATCATTGGGGAATCATCATCATCATGAGCAACATCATCATCAGCATCGTCATTATCATTATTATCATCATCGGGACACCATCAGCATCACCATCATCATCATCACCATCATCATCAGCATCATCATCGGGACACCATAATCATCAACATCATCATCATCAACAACATCATTATCGCTGGGACACCATTTCCATCAACATCATCATCAGCAACATCATCGGAATCATCATCATCATCATCATCATCATCATCATCATCATCATCATCATCATCATCATCGGGACACCATCATCGTGATCATCATCAACAGAATCATCATGATCATCACCATTCTCATCATCGGGACACTATCATCATCATCGACACCATCATCAACATCATCATCATCATCATCTTCATCGGGACACCATCATCCTCATCTCATCATCATCATCATCATCATCATCATCATCATCATCATCATCACCATCACCATCACCATCACCATCATCATCATCATCATCATCATCATCATCATCATCATGATCATGATCATGATCATGATCATCATCATCATCATCATCATCATCATCATCATCATCATCATCATCATCATCATCATCACATCATCATCATCCTCGCGGGACACCGCGGGACACCGGCGGGACACCGCGGGACACCGCGGGACACCGCGGGACACTGCGGGACACCGGCGGGACACCGCGGGGCCCCGGCCGCCCGGAAGGGAATCATTTGGTCCGGCCGCGCCTCAGCCACACGGGACACCAGCGGGACACCGGCGGGACACCGCGGGGCCCCGGCCGCCCGGAAGGGAATCATTTGGTCAGGCCGCGCCTCAGCCACAGGAGACTTTTTCTCGCCCGCCCACGCAGCTTCGCCTCGCACGCACGGCACGCACGAACACGAAACCGAAACCGATTTCCCGGTGGGGGGCTCGCCGTTCCACTTCGATCTCACCCCCTCACCTCCGATATATGATCAGAGCTCTACCCCCTGCCAAGGCTCATTTTTTTTCCTTTCTCTCTCTCTCTCTCTCTCTCTATATATATATATATATATATCCGCCACCGTGCCTCTGGGAACGGAGTTGGCGTGTCCTCAGGTCATGTGCCTGATCCCTGGAGCATCAGTCCTCAGGCCTGTGGCGTCTTTAAAGGACCCAGACCCAAAACTCGCAAAATTACCAGGGTCCCGCGTGCCCACTGGGGCTTCCCACGTGCCCCGTGGGCTCCAGGAACTGCTCTCGCGTGAATGTTGCAAGGCCAAGAGGGCCCAAAGACGGCCCAAGCAGGCCCCACAAGGCCTCCAAGATGGCCCAAGAGGGCCCCGAGACGCCCAAAGATCGGCCCAAGACGCCCGAGGTGGCCCCACAAAGGCCCAAGAGGCCCCCAAGACGCCCCGAGGGGCCTCCAAGAGGCCTCCCAAGAAGGCCCCAAGAGGTCAAAATTCGCCGGCCCAACGGGCCAGAGGCGTGCTAAGATCTCCGGCAACTTGTTAACAATATTTCTAGTTCGCGCGCGCGGAGCGGCCCCTGGGGGCCCCCGGACGAAAAGTACCCCGGCAAGGTCCCGAGAGAAGCTCGGGAGAAGCCACCAGACCACTCCAGGGGAGGGTATTTTTCGACACCCCTCACGAGGATCGTGGCCTCCGAGGGGGGAGCCGCAATCGACTACCCCCAAGAGCCCCCCAAGAGGCCCTGGGGGCCTCCAAAACGCCGCCAAGGAGCCCCAAGAGACTCCCAAGAGGTCCCCAAGAGGCCCCCAAGAGGCCCTAAAGAGGGCTCCAGGGCCGGCGGCATGAGCGAAGCGATTAAATAATACATGTTCCTTCGGTTTTTGAACGATTTGGGCGTTCTCGCGTTTTCAACCTTCCGACGCTCCAAAACTGCCTAAGACGGCCCCCGAAGACCACCCCAAAACTGCCAAAGAAGTCTCTCCAAAAGGACCCCTGGACTGCCTAAGAGCGCACCAAGACGGCCCAAGAGGCCCCCGAGACGGCCACACGACAGCCCCAAAAGGGGCCCAAGAGAGGGAACACGGACCGAATATCCAAGCCTTCCGCCACAAGATGCCCCCAGGAGCAAGAGGCACCAAGAAGCCTCCAAAAACCCCCAAAGAGGCCCCATGCGGCCCCAAAACGGCACCCGTGAGGCGTCCAAACTGCCTCCAAGAGGCCTTCCGAGCGGCATCCCAAGAGATCACACCGAACATCCGATAGGCGTCATGCCCACAACCCACACACGGTGGCGGGATGGGCCGAAAGCCATTAGGTCCGCCGCCCCCTGCTTGCAGGGGTGCACGGCGTGCTGGACGAGCTGTTAGGTTTTGGTTTTGGTTCTTTTTCCAAAAGAACTCCCCAGTGGGCTCCGGCAGAACCCGCCACCGTGCGCAAAAACGGCCGTTTCGCTCGGGACATCCTCAAAAAATCGCGAAGATGGCCCAAGATGGCCTCCAAGTCCGCCCGAGATGGTCCAAGACGGCCTCCAAAACGGCCCAAGAGAGTCCAAGACGGCCCAAGACGGCCCAAGAGGCCCCCCAGAGGCCTCCCAGACGGCCCAAGAGGCCTCCAAGAGGTCCTCCAGGAGAGTCCGAAGAGGGCAAAATCATTGATTTTCCCTTGGTTTTTGAAGGATTTTGGCATTTGCGCCTTTTCGGCTCTCCGACGGCTCAAGACGGCCCAAGAAGCCCCCAAGATCGCCCAAGAGGCCCCCAAGAGAGCCCCCTGATGGCCCAAGTGGCCTCCAAGATGGCCCCTAGAGGGCCCCAAGACGGCCCAAGAGGCCTCCAACACGCCCAAGATGGCCTCCAAGACGCCCAAGATGGCCTCCAAGACGGCCCTGGAGCGCCCCAAGAGGGTCCCCCGTTGGCCCAGACAGGCCCCCAAAACGGCTCCCGACGGCGTCAGACGTGCCAGGAACCCACCAAGATGGCCGAAGTTGGCTCGAAGCTGGCCCAAAAGGGCCCAAGAGGCCCCCAAGAGGGCCTCCAGGAAGGCCAAAAGATGCCAAAATCACTGATTTTCCCAAGGTTTTTGATGGATTTGGGCATTTCCCTTCTTTCGGCCTTCCGACGGCCCGAGACGGCCCAAGAGCCCCCAAAGATCGCCGAAAGATCGCCCAAGAGGCCTCCAAGACGACGACGATGACCATCAAGACGCCCACGTGTTCCCCGAAGGCTTTCCAAACCGATTCGGGGAACACATGGTCCGATGGCTTGGCAGGTCTGGCCTCAACGTTCGGCCACATAGGCGCTTCCACAAAGGCAGGGGGCGGCGGTGATTCGCCGTAGGCGTCTTCGATCCGCCGCCCCCTGCTTGCAGGGGTGCACGGCGTGCTGGACGATTCAGGTTTTGGTTTTGGTTCTTTTTCTAAAAGAACTCCCCAGTGGGCTTCGGCCCGTCCCGCCGGCCACCCGTAAGTTTCCGAAAATCCATCTGTCAATGCCTTTGTTGCCCCAACTTGGCCCAAGATGGCCTCCAAGACGGCCAAGATGGCCCAAGATGGCCTCCAAGATGCCTCCAAGACGGCCAAGATGCCTCCAAGACGGGTAAGATGGCTCCAAGATGCCTCCAAGACGGCCCAAGATGCCCTCCAAGACGGCCAAGATGGCCCCAAGATGCCTCCAAGATGGCCCAAGAGGCCTCCAAGACGTTCTCCAGGAGAGCCCGAAGAGGCCAAAATCATTGGTTTTCCTTAGGTTTTTGAAGGTTTTTTGCGTTTTCTTCTTTTCGGCCTTCCGACGGCCCAAGAGGCCCCCAAGATCGCCCAAGAGGCCTCCAAGAAGGCCCTATGACGGCCCAAGGGCCCCCCAAGACGGCCCCAAGAGCGCCCCAAGACGGCCCAAGAGGCCTCCAAGACGCCCAACATGGCCTCCAAGACGGCCCTGAAGCGCCCCAAGAGGGCCCCAAGACGGCCCAGAGAGGCCCCCAAGACGGCTCCAGACGGCGTCAGACGGACCAGGAACGCCCTAAGACGGCCAA